AGTTTTAATTCAGTTACTTTTCCTTTCACTCTCATCCTTTGCTCTGGGCTGCTGGTTTCCTTGTGAAGATAAAAAGGACTTTTCCATAACACCTTCCTTACTCAAAAGCATTAGGGGAACCCCAACTTTAGCTATTAGGCATTCACTTGACAACCCCCCCCCAATGTATTACATGATCCCCAATGATGTGCTCTATTGGGAGCTAGCTTCAGACACCTGGCCCATTGACAGGCCAACTCTTCAGTCCAAAGATATCTGCAAACATGACACGAAGGCTGGCAACGTCAAACCCACCATGTGAGAGCCAGTGTGGTGTAGTGGTTAAGAGCGGTAGACTCGTAATCTGGGGAACCGGGTTCGCGTCTCCGCTCTTCCACCTGCAGCTGCTGGGTGACCTTGGGCTAGTCACACTTCTCTGAAGTCTCTCAGCCCCACTCACCTCACAGAGTGTTTGTTGTGAGGGACGAAGGGAAAGGAGAATGTTAGCCACTTTGAGACTCCTTTGGGTAGTGATAAAGCGGGATATCAAATCCAAACTCCTCCTCCTCCTCCTCCTCCTCCTCCTCTTCTTCTTCATCTTCTCTGCAGATGACCTCAGTGCCTGGAGACAAATAGCCAGGTTGTGCATCCACAGCAGTGACCAGAGGAAGAATGACCACTTGGAGGAGCACAAAGAGAAGAATCGCATCTGCAGCAGCATAACTGGATACCTTCATCTGCCCCAACTGCAACAAAACATGTCTCTCCTGTATTGGTCTCTACAGCCACAGCAGGCGCTGTAACTCTCCAACAGTTTGACTTCACCCACAAATGTGAAATCTTCCATTGTTTCCTGGGACAGATGGGTGGTAGCAGCAAGACTACAGCAACATGATGCTTGTCTTAGTCCTTTGATTATCCCCTTTCTCCCCAATTAAAAGAATACCCTTTATGCAATATGTTATAGCAGCTTGGAATCAAAGAATGGGGTTGGTGGAATGATGAGGAGCTCCAAAGATCTTCCAACAGGTGTGTTAGTTCAAAGTAAGCATATGTATGGGAGAGAGGAGGAGATATTCATTTGAATTATGGTGTTGGAGGAGACTCTTGAGAGTCCCATGGACTGCAAGAAGATCAAACCTCTCCATTCTGAAGGAAATCAGCCCTGAGTGCTCACTGGAAGGACAGATAGTGAAGCTGAGGCTCCAAGACTTTGGCCTCCTCATGAGAAGAGAAGACTCCCTGGAAAAGACCCTGATGGTGACATTGATTTGCTGTTGCATTTATTATCTGTTTTTTTATTATGCCTTCAGGTTTGCAATAAACCTGATTGATTGATTGATCTAGCAAAATGTCTGCAGATGAACTGCAGAGCTGATTGACACAATCAGGTTTCCTAATAGAATGGGCATTGCAGTGCAGCCCTGCAAACTTCCGCTCAGGTATAAGTCTCACTAAGTTCAATGCGGCTTAAAAGGTAAAGGGACCCCTGACCATTAGGTCCAGTCGTGGCCGACTCTGGGGTTGTGGCGCTCATCTCGCTTTATAATATATATATACACCTAATACAATGCACTTTTGCATGTTATTGACATTGCTATGTTCCTTCATGCAGGTAAAGGTAAAGGTAAAGGGACCCCTGACCATTCGGTCCAGTCGTGACCGACTCTGGGGTTGCCGGCACTCATCTCGCTTTATTGGCCGAGGGACCCGTCATACAGCTTCCGGATCATGTGGCCAGCATGACTAAACTGCTTCTGGCGAACCAGAGCAGTGCACGGAAATGCCGTTTACCTTCCCGCTGGAGTGGTACCTATTTATCTACTTGCACTTGACGTGCTTTCGAACTGCCAGGTTGGCAGGAGCAGGGACCAAGCAACGGGAGCTCACCCCATTGCAGGGATTCGAACAGCCGACCTTCTGATCGGCAAGTCCTAGGCTCTGTGGTTTAACCCACAGCACCACCCGCGTCCCATTCAATGTGGCTTACTCCAGCCTAAATGGGTAGTGGATTGCAGCTTACAATTAAGTGCAAAAAGTATGTCATAGGAAAATGCAACACAATCACAAAGGATGGGTAGAGAACCAATAGTCCTATGGGAAAGGCATTGTCTCAAAGTTCAAAAATCATGTTCCATATAAACTTAAATCTTGGGAATTTCAGTGACCTGCATCTGCTTAGGAGCTGGCCAAAATGCGGGGGGGGGGGGGAGTGGGTGACAAGGGCCATTTCAACAGGCAAATGCTGCCATCTACTGGACCCTCCATAATATAGCTTTCCACCCCACTTGGACCTAGTGGGCAGCACACGCGATGTAGGGTCTTCTTTCTCTCCATCCAACACCCCTCCCTCTTCCCTGCACAGTATGTTATTTCAGAAGCAGCTATAAAAAGACCAACATACTTGGCCAAGTGGGGCTAAAATTGACCTGGTAGCTCTCAGTCCTGTGTTTCCCCCCTTCACCTCCTCTAATAGTGATTATTTTACCCCTCTGTGCTCATTGCATTTAAGTTTTGCAATGTGGTTGTTTTTATTGTTGTATCACAGAAAGCAACATGGGACATATTTATAATTGATTTTATTTTTTAAAAAATAATGTGATGGAAACATTTGCCTATTGCCTATTCTTCTGATCTCTCTGAGATCAAACTTTCAAATAATACTTAGGAATAAATGGAAAATGTTCTTACAGCCAGTTTCAATCCACTGAACGCTTACTTTACAAGGTTATCACACATCCCCAAATATTACACACACTTAGTGAAAAAATGGAACTTACTTAGAAGTGATCCCTTGTCACTTTATTTGTATTTACATTTTCTATATCTGAATTTACAGTGTTTACATTTGGTTTTTGCTAGTGACAGTGATTGGGGTTTTTTGTGTGTGTTTGTGTGTGTGTGTTTTACATTGAGAGTGCAGTATAAAAAGAAAGAACAAAAGGATGGGATATAAATACAACCAGCCAACCAATATTCAGATAGGGCAAGAAGATCCACAAGATCATCTCTGTTACTAGGTTCTGTTATCCATGCAGTGAGAAGAGGATACATGCATCAGAACCATTGAGGTGGATGGCATCGAGCCCAATAATTTGTGGAGCCGGAACCAACGACAGGCTGAGTCAACAAATTTTGGTTTTGTGTTCCATCCTCCTCCCTGTTGAGTTCTACAAGGGTCAACTAAGGAGAAAGAAGTTGAAAGGCAGACAGAAATAGGTTGGTGGGTTATTGCCTCAATTGCCCTAACAGAACAGCCTCCACTCTCCCTGGGGCAGCCACTTGCAGCTTCCGAAGCAGTAATTTTGTTTCCTGAAAGTAGCTAATAAATTAGGATACAGGAATCTCCTTTATATCAAACACAATTATACTGATTTGGATCCAAACTGTGCTGCAAACAGGCTTTCTTCCCCCTTCCTTTTAGACCGAGCAGAGCACAGAACTCAATCTCAGGGTCGTGGGTTTGAGCCCCACGCTGGGCAAAAGATTATTGCATTGCAGAGGGTTGGATTAGATGGAGCTTTCCAGCTCTACAATTCTATGATTCGATGAGAGCCAGTGTGGTGTAGTGGTTAAGTGCAGTAGGCCTGTAAACTGATTTTACAGTTCGAGTAAACTGGGTTCAAGTCTCTGCTCCTCCACTTGCAGCTGCTGGGTGACCTTGGGCTAGTCTCTCAGCCCCACTCACCTCACAGAGTGTTTGTTGTGGGAGAGGAAGGGAAAGGAGAATGTTAGCCGCTATGAGACTCCTTCAGGTAGTGATAAAGCTGGATATCAAATCCAAACTCTTCTTCTTCTTTGCAGACAGGTTGGCAAGTGTGAAAAGTGGGTGGGAACCCATCCATTTGAAGGCAGAGTTTGCAGCCAAATCCTTCCAGCAAAGAGACAACTTTAAAGGGGCTTGCTGTCTGTACCAAACAGCTGACCATGAGCTCCACATGCCAAACCTACCTCCTGATAGTTCCTTTCTAGTCATGTATTCTTTACATGCCCCACAGTTGATATCACATATGATATCATGTGTGTGACAGGCAGATGAGGTTTGGGAGAAACAGCCTTACCAGCAAAATTAGGTCTCGTCGTTTGGCCTGCTGGCTGGAGGCTCCTCATTCCTAGCACACCTTTTCCCTACCTGAAACCCTGCAAACTCCAACTCCCACTATCCACAGCCAGCATGACTAATGGTCAGGGATGATGAGAATTGTAGTCCAAATCATCTGGGGAATGCCAGGTGGGAGATGCTGGTCAGCACTGGCTGGCAGCACCTGTCCACCATTTCAGGCAGGGATTTTCCCAGCCCTACCTGCAGATGACAATAATGACACCTGGAACCTTCTCCATGCAAACCGAGATCTGGTTCCTCCTTTACTTCCTACAACCAAGAATGTGCTCAGAGCAAAGGTAGCAAAGCTAATCCTTCACGTTTAGAAGCTAGACTCTTCACAGTCAAAATGTTACAGACAATGTCTCTGAACTGCTTTGCTGAGGACTGCATAGAAATTGACTATTCCCACAATAAATTAGATTTTATTTTTATTTTATTTTTTAAAAATCTCTCCTTTTCTCTTTCTTCCTCACCTGCTAGTTCCTTCCCTGTTCCATTTCCAATAACAAATCCTCACTACTCTCCTTTCTGATATTCTACCTGTCCTGGGATCTCTCTCTGTGCAACCCTATGACTTATTCACTGCAAAGGAAGTCTGCGCTCAATAGACTCACTTCTTAGAAAGGGCGTTTAGGGTTGTCTAAAATTTGCAACAATCCCCGAGGCCCCTCCAAGCGCCCCTTCAGGCTTTCTTCCTTACCCACAAGGTCCCTTCCAGCTTCCACTGTAGATCCTTTCACACACACCCTTCATTCACGCTGCAGACCCTTCGCAGAGGCACCGCCTCCTCACCTCACTTCCCTTCCCATTTGCCTTCCAAACTTAGTATCTTCCTTCCAAAATTAGCCTCACTCTGAGAGCAATGGGGTCACATCGCTCTGTCCCGGTTGCTGCTGTTATTACCATGAAATTTCCTGAGTTATAACTATTTCATTTGTCCCCGTCATTCATTTCCTAACTCGGTCGGTATCGGTTTTTCAAGAGAGCGTCTTCATATCTCTGGAAAGTAGGGTGGAGGGAGGTTTTTTTACCTGTCCTCAAATACCCTGCTGGGTTTGGCTTTCCTTTCGCTTGCTCCCCAAGGCTCCTTTTGGATAACAAGTTACTGATCTGGCTGCAAGTGTATCTCTCAGTGCTGGAAGTAACGCAGTTCAACCGGTGCTGGAGGATCTTCGCTGCTTTTTCTCCTACAGGTAAGACAAATGATTGTCGTTACGGAAGTGAAACTTTCTGGAACCACCAGAAGATAACTGATAGGTGCTTGATTGAGTTTCCTTCTATCTTTTGATTCCTCAGGGGGGAGAAATAAGACAAAATCACTATCCTTCGTGGATGTGAAGGAAGTACCCAACATGGGACTTGATGGTACAGTACTTTGAAAAATAAAAAATAGGAACCACAAATTTTGAGATGCTAGAAGGAAGTTTTTATTCATGTCTAAGCATGGGTGTAGCCAGGGGGGTGTAGGGAGCAGCTGCCCCCCCGCCCAATCAAGTATTTTTTTTAAAAAAAAACCTAAATGACTAATTGTATTGCAGATAACTTTGTTCTGGCACCTCCAAACATAAAGCCTGCCTCCTTGTCTAAGGATGTAATCCTAACACAATTTAATCTGGAGTGAGCCCCATTGTAGTACAGATGGCTCCCCATTTACACGGGGGTACCATTACTAGCCCCTGCGCATGTGCAAAATCACGATAATGGGGAGCACCCTGAAATGACCCACCCCAGAGCCCAAAGAGCCCCCCCCCAAGCCTCCCTGAACCCGTCCGTCAGTTCTGCCAGTCCAGCGAGCTGCTCTTCCTCTCCGGCTGGTGCGTGCAAATAGGAGTGACAGGGCAGCTTCCAGGTGGCAGAGGGACTCAGAAGCAGCAGCAGTTTCACCTGCGATACACCTCCAAGTGAAACTGCCACCTGGGAGCAACATGAACGGAGGAGGAGGAAGCGGCAGCATCAAATGACTCTGCTTGGTACTGCGATGCAAGCCCCCAGACTTTGCAGAGGAGCCCTGAGCTTCCGTGATGATGATGCACATGGCGAAAAGGAGGAGTACTAGATTCTGATGGGTGCTAGATCCTGATGGATCCCCTTGCCCATGCGTGTTTGGCCAAGCGGAGAACCAATAAGAATAATAATTGGAGAAAAGTTCGGGCCAAAGAAAGCTCTGCTCTGGCACAATATAGGGCCATTGTTTTGTTCAGAGGGACAAACGGAGGGAGAGAACATTAGATCCAGAATCATTGAGTCCTTTGAGTGTTAGCAGATGTTGCAGAATAAACTGGGTCAGGTCAAGGGTTGTAACGTTGGGTGAGAACCAAAAGAGGACAAAGAAGAGATACAATGTTTTGTCTCACTGTATGACCTCTCTCGCTCATGTGGCACTCAGCAATCTGAGCTGAGGCTCCTTGGACTGAATTCTACGTAAGTCCTAGAAAAGGCATGTTCTGGGGTTCTTCTCAGGATGGGGCCAGAGAGCAGGGATTTAAGCTGGATCCTAAGCCCATCCAGCTCAGTCATGTAACTGGGTAACTTAGCATAGAATATGTTCTTAAAGGCTTGTTTTCCTTCTGCCAGGCTTAGAAAGTGCAGAAGCAGCACAGCTGATGGGCAGGGTTTGAATCTGACATAACTTTATACCAGCTGAATTTGAATCTGCTTGATTTACGACCACTTCTAGTCCAAAGAGTTGCTCCCTAAGAAACTAACGTCACTGAAGCGAGATCTCAGCGCTCCACAGTGATCTCTCCCCTTTCAATTGACAATGAGAACAAAAGTGAAAAATTTATAACCAACTGCAGGAAGCAGTGAAATATTTTTCAGCTTAATAATAATAATAATAATAATAATTTATTATTTATACCCCACCCATCTGTCTGGGCTTCCCCAGCCACTCTGGGTGGCTTCAAAAAAAATATATAAATACCATAATGCATCAAACATTAAAAGCTTCCCTAAACAGGGCTGCCTTCAGATGTCTTCTAAAAGTCTGGTAGTTGTTGTTCTCTTTGACATCTGGTGGGAGGACGTTCCACAGGGAGGGTGCCACTACCAAGAAGGCCACTGCCTGGTTTCCAGTAACTTGCCTTCTCGCAGTGAGGGAGCTGCCAGAAGGCCCTCGGCACTGGACCTCAGTGTCCAGGCAGAACAATGGGGGTGGAGACGCTCCTTCAAATATACTGGACCGTGGCCATTTAGGGCTTTAAAGGTCAACACCAACACTTTGAATTGTGCTCAGAAACGAACTGGGAGCCAATGTAGGTCTTTCAAGACTGGTGTTATGTGGTCTCGGTGGCCGCTCCCAGTCACCAGTCTAGCTGCCGCATTCTGGATTAGTTGTAGTTTCCAGGTCACCTTCAAAGCCTCATGTAGAGTGCATTGCAGTAGTCCAAGTAGGAGATAACCACATGGCGTGCATGCACCACTTTGGCGAGGCAGTCCATAAACAAACTTCACTTTTTTCTCTTTTATTCCCAGTAGGTGACTCTGCAAGAAGTAGCTGAAAGAGAAGAGATTGAACATCATGGCCAATAATGGCCTGCACTCTCCAATCCCTTTGGGTGCTGAAGAGGAATATAATAGAGTACACAATGCAACTGGGCTCCCAGACTATACTGATTATTTTGACGAAATACCATCATATGACGTAACGATTATTATTATCCTTGTCTGCATTTTCCTCATTAGTGTCCTTGGACTTTTAGGGAATGGAACTGTCATCTGGATTCTCGGATTTTGCATGAAAAGGACTGCTTTCGCAACCTATATCCTGAATTTGGCTGTTGCTGACCTTGGGGTCCTCCTAGGCTCAGTTCCTTGGAGGATAATTGTCTTCCTCGATAATTCTCATTCGCATCTTGCCAATTTCGATGTTTACTATTTAGTGATCATAAGTGCCCATTGCTTTTTCTCCACAAACCTCATCGGTCAATTTCTGCTGACAGCCATCAGCATCGACAGCTGTGTTTCTGTCGTCTTCCCCATTTGGCATCGATGTCGCCGGCCACCCAACCTGTCCATCATTGTGTGTGCCATCATATGGAGCCTTGCTTTCCTGCTCACTCTCGTGAACATCCTTAATGACATTGTAGACTTTGGAGTAGATTTGGTTTGGTACCAGTTGCTGGTGAGTGCTGTGTTTTGCCTCCCGCTCATGACTGTCTCCACTCTGATCCTCTTCATCAAACTTTGCTTGAGATCACAGCAGAGGCAGCAAGGAAATGTTTTAATAGCCATCCTGATGGTGCTCCTCTTTTCCCTCTTGTTTGCTTTTCCATTTACTTTCCTTTATTTAATATTTTCTTTCCCCCATCTTACATTTCGTAATGCCCTACACGTTGGGGCCTTATGCTGCTGCCTAAACAGCAGCATTAAGCCACTGATTTATTTCCTGGTTGGGAGGAGAAAGAGCGGTCAATCTAGGGAGAGCATGAAAGTCATACTCCAGAGGCTTTTCAAGAAGGAGGAAGGCTGCAGAGAGGAGGCCAATAATGTCCCAATCCAGACCCAGGTGTGATACATTCAAAATAATCAGAGAGCTCCACAATTACACCTCTTGCTATGGTTCCAGTTACAGATAGGTAGCCGTAGTAGCTGTTTTACTACAAAGGAATTTCAGAAATAGACTGGAAAGAGACGCTGCTGAATTGCAACTCATTACCAAACTTAAAACCATGGAGAGACCTGGTCTGAACAGAGACATTGGATTCTTATCTCATTATACATGACTAAGCCATCTTTCACCTTCTCACCCCTTGCCTTTTCCTGTAGACCTATTGCAGTCGTTAAGAGTCGTCAACAGGCTCATCTCAGTTATCTGCCAATCTCCCATTCCCACCACCCTTCTGAGTGATACCCCTCCCCACCTTCTCACTATATAGAAGGATCTGGCAACTTCTGTCTCAGTGTATCTGAAGAAGTGTGCATGCACACGAAAGCTCATACCAAGAACTAACTTAGTTGGTCTTTAAGGTGCTACTGGAAGGAATTTTTTTATTTTGACCTCTTGCTATGACAATCTATGTTCCCTTTAGCCCTCTTTTTTTTTTGTAAACCTGCTGCTTTTCACTGTTGTTTCTATATGCCTGGGGAGGAACAGAGATGAACCCTCATCTCATTTCTTCAACTGCTGATATGTGATGCTTTTAGTACTTGGTGTTTCCTTCACTTTCTGATTGCTCTTTGCTTAATTTAAAGTGATTTCCTGTGGCTATTTTTTGGTGCCATTTCAGGGATATAGTAAAAGTCTCCTGGACTGAAGGACATTAAAAAAAATCAACTTGAAATATTTCCTTAAGAGATGTAATGGGAGGGGGAATCATGCCACTTCAATCGTCTGTAAGGAGATTCTAAATTATGTAGAAAATAGGTTCTTTGCATAGTGGATGAATACACACACACACACTATACACACACACAGCTCCCAAACCTTTGAAAATACATCAGATAACTCCTTTGAAAATACTCCAACTAATAATAAAAATAATAAAAATAAAACTACTAAAAATAAAATATCTAAAAATACAGTGGTACTTCAGGTTACAGATGCTTCAGGTTACAGACGCTTCAGGTTACAGACTCAGCTAACCCAGAAATAGTACCTCAGGTTAAGAACTTTACTTCAGGATGAGAACAGAAATCGTGCTGAGGTGCAGCGGCAGCGTGAAGCCCCATTAAGTAAAGTGGTACCTCAAGTTAAGAACAGTTTCAGGTTAAGAACGGACCTCCAGAATGAATTAAATTCTTAACCTGAGGTACCACTGTAACAATATTAAAAATAATAATAAACAGATAATAGAACATGCTAATAGCAGTATGTGTTAGGATTCACTCCCTGTGTTGCAGTCATGGGGTTGTTTTTATCACATGGCGGTGTATGTTTTCATTCCACATTGTGGGAAGTGACTGAGACAGGATGTTTTTATTACTGTGTTTCCATGTTGTAGGATTTTTATCCCTTGTTCTCTCTCTTTGCTGTCTACTTCTGAGGAGGAAGGAGCTGAGTTACGATGCTCCGAGTGTATATATGTAATTAAAAGTAATTTGGCCAAATTGCTGCGCTACTGAGTCTGAACACTGATGGCCTTTATGCTGCTGATCCTGAAGTGTGCTGATGCATCTTGGTATCAGTCGCTGTGATGTTCAGACTGGAGAAAGCTTTTGAATCTCCCAAACGAATGACCAGGAGGGAGAGAACTTACCAGTCGGGCATGTGCCTCTGCCAGACTCCTACTCATGTTTAGGACCTCCTGACAGTATGGATATTAAAAGATATTTTTTAACAACAACAACAAATATCAATAGACCATTGTGAAGGAAGTACTTTAATTGCTCGTATAGGCCTGGTGGAACAGAAAAGTTTTCAGCAGAACCTTAAAAGTTGACAGAGAAAGTGGCTACCAAATCTCTATCAGCAGTGTGTTCCACAGGACCAGGCTTATATTCTATTTCTTGTCAAATGAACCTCAACAACAGAGAGAATGACCAAAGATGCTCATGCAAATGGTCTGATTCCTCAAGCTGGAATATGAGGGTTCAGGTGATCCCTGAGGTATCCTAGAGCCAAGTTGTTCAGGGCTGTGTAAATCAATACAAGAACCTTGAACCTGGCTCAGGAGCAGCCAGAACAGCTGTTTTAATAATGGCATCACGTGTTCTCAATGAGAAGCTCCCATCAGCAATCTGGCAGCAGCATACTGCATCTGCTGGAACTTCCAAACCAGACCCAAGAGCAGCCCCACATCAAGCACATCACAGTAATCTAGCCATGCTCTTGCAGTGGTCAGGCTATCCTTGTCCAGGAATTTCAATAGCTGGAAAAGGCACTCCTAGTCACAGAGGACACCTGAGCATCTAGTGACAAAGATGTATCCAGAAGTACCGCCAAACTTCACACTTGCTCCTTCAAAGAGAGTGCAACCCCACTCAGAACAGGGAACTTGCCAATTTCCAAAACACGGGAACCACCCACCCAAAGAGCCCCCATCTTCATAGAATTCAGCCCTCATCCAGACCACTACTGCATCCAGACACTGGTTCAAAGCTTTCACAGCCTCTCGCAATTCCAATGTTATGGAAAGGGAAAGCAGCGTGTCAACATCATCACACTGCTGATACCTTGCTCCAAAACTCCCAATGGCTTCATAGAGATATTAAATAGATATTAATGTTAATTGGAGTTCAAATGATAATACTGTAAGCACAATATATCATGTAAAGAAGCTTAACATATATTGGATCTGCTTCCGTATTTTAACTTTTGCATGTTTTAAAGTATGGTTGTGATTGTTCTTGATTTTTCTGTTTATTCATTTGTAAGCTGCTTTGGAGTGTTTTTTCTTTCTTTTTTACAATCAAGCATTGTATAAATTTTATGAAATCAATGAAAAGAAATAAATGTGCCATTGAGGTGGCATTTGCCCATTCCTTGTGGTTATGTTTGTATAGGGGGATGGAAATGGTTAATGTAGATTGACCAATGAGAAAGCTCAGAGGCAGAGCCTACCTGGTTTTGAGGCTCAGCCCAGGGGTTTACCATAGAGAGATAGAGGTGTGAGGGTCAGAGAGAGGCAGAAAAAGTTGAACATGGTGGTTGTGACAGTTAGAGTGAGAGGCAGGGGGTTACCATGGAATTGCCTGCTAATGAAGGTGGGGAGGAGAAGGATGACCTGGTGGATATGCTCCTTGCCACGAGTCACAGCAAATGGCTCTGAATGCTTGCCCCCTCCACCTAATTTATATTAACAACCGCCCTTGGTAATCATGTCTCCCCACCAATAGACACTTCTGCCACCCAATAAAAGACCCATACGGGACAAATGCTTTTGGCCGTTAAAAGGCCAGGAAGTTGTTATCTTGCTTAAACAGCCTTGATTAGAAATCTGGGGATGAGGTCTTGAGTTATTCCATTTGTCTGGTACAGATAAAGAAGTACGTGAGACATGAGCTGCTTCGTCCAGAACCAATTACAAACCTAGTCTCCATGACTGTAGCCTTTTGGGACATATATGACAATAGTCTCCTCCTCCTTGGTGAACTGATAATTATCTTCATATCCAATTAAAGAGCATCCTCTTGCCCTATGAGGCAGAGAATCAAATTAAACCCAGACGAAGAACAGGAGGGACCGTTTTGCACCTTTGAGTGAGACTGGTAAGATTTATCATTTTCTCCATGGGGCATGAGTGGGGCCATATTTTCTGTCTCTTAAGTGCTTAGAACCTACCATTCCAGTGCAAGATGCTGTGTCTTGTTCTCTTGCGCTCACCATCTCTGAAGACTGCGGACCTGCAGTTAGTCACAAGGTTGGGTGTAACATTCACAGGAGAGGCCAGAGCTGCGGTGCTTGCAGAAGGTTAATTCCCAAGTACTCCAAGGTAGGGTTGGAAAGATGACTTTTTTAAAATGCTAGAGAGTGGCACTGAGAGTCTGTTTGACAAGTTCTGATCTTGATAGACCAATAGTCTGACTCAGATGCAGGAAGATGACTTCCTGAGGTTTTGCCAAGGGAGAGAACAAACATTGTATCCAGACACAATGAGATTAATGTATTTTAACAGGTACGCAGAACAGACTGGGTCATTTCAAGTGATCCAAGTCCAGCGCAGGCAATTCACCTCTGACTGATCAGTAAAGTCTTGGGAATGTTGGTTTTATTAAGGCAATGTGAAGAAAGCAGATATCCATGTTCCTAGAAGCAAACACAATGATGGGATTCCACTTAATATATAAACATATACACTCTCTTGAATTCTTGAATTCCTTTCTCTGTTCTGTGAGTGACTAAACCCTTAGCATGAAGCTACAGAACAATAGTTATCCCCCTGAAGAGTTCGTTTCTCCCCTTTCTAAAAGTCACTCATTGAGTCAACTCTCAGAATGCCAGTAGAACACTTTCCTTACTCTTGGTCCTTACAAGTGAAGGTTAGTTACATCCCTACCCCATCATAAGAATTCTCCACACTAGTTACTTGGGTATCTTGCCAGTTCTTGGAAATTTCCCCATCACCCCAGGACTACAGGAGAGGAGAATCTGGTAGGCAAGGAGGACTGCTAAGTCTTCCCAGCATGTTGTGTATGAGATTACATACATTGCGTATGTAGATGTAAACAGCTTTCTGGATTAGGGCCAAGCTGAAAGCCAGGAAGGTGTGATGCCACCAGCTCTCAACTGCAGCTAAAGCAACAGCCCGAGTGCTAATGCTCAGTTTCCTTGCACTAGGAAAATGACTGGGGCATTTGGAGGGGAGAATAATATAAATCTTCTGAATCACCACCACCAGGGGTATCTGTTCATTTGTTTATCTATCAAGTATGTTTGCTTCTTAAAGGTGGTACTACTACTTGGGTAAACAGCTGCCCCCCCCCACGTGTTTGCTTCCCATCCATCAGAAACAGCCTCCTTGGTTAGGGGGGGAGCCAATATAGACATATCAGAAAGCTTGCTCTATTTGGGGAAGAATCCTAGGAACTGAACAACAAAAAGAAAACTACATAATAAGAAAAAATGTGGCATTACTGCCTGACCTCTCTTTCAGAACCTCCTGCACACACTGATTCATTCCTAACCTGCTCTCATTCCATTGGAAGATGGTGGCACCCACCTGGATGAATGTGCAGTAGGTAAGTGAAATTCACTGCAATAAAACTTTATATCAATCTTTCCCTAAACAAGGTGGTGTCTTTCTCATTCTGTCTCAGTTCATCTCCTTCATCCTTACTGATATCTCTTGCTAAGCAGGAACAATGAGCCTGGCCATAGCAAAGGAAATATGACTGAACCCCAATTTTGGAGAGAAATTACATATCAGACAATACTTCCAGAAGACCAGGGAATGCTGTACTGACTTTGTCTCTTGGCACTAATCAAAACTCAATGAGAAAAAATCCGGAGGGTGTAGCCCATGTGGGGGATTCAGTTATATTGCAGACAATTGCACCTATATGACTTTTGGCTTTAAAGACAGATGTTGTAGGTTTATGTGTTGTTCAATGGACTCCTGGGTCTGGGTTTTGCACGGAATTCCAGCTCAGTCAAACATCTTTGTGATATTTTCCATTTCCTAGAGGAAACTTCTGCTCCAGAAGAGGAGGCAAGATTTCCACATGCCGTCATTCAGCATGGAAAGAAATATCAATGGGACTTTGCAATCTACTGTGGATGCTGTGACATATAAGGAGTATAATGGCACTTATAATAGCTCATATAATGACCAAAAATATTCCCCATCTAATCCATTTGAAAAATTTATAAGACATGGCTTTATTTTAGTTATCTGCTGTGTGGGATTTTTGGGGAATGGAACTGTCATCTGGCTTCTTGGTTTCCGCATTAGGAGGAAACCGTTCACCACCTACATCCTTAATTTGGCTGTTGCTGACTTTGCATTCCTCCTGAGCCTACAGTTCCATACTTTTATTAGGTTTACTGATTATGTTCTTTATAGGATTGATGATTGTCTCTTATCCTTCACATACAACACTGGCCAACTTCTTCTGACAGCCATCAGCATTGACAGATGTGTGTCTGTCCTCTTCCCTATCTGGCATCGGTGTGTTCGGCCGACACATTTGTCCACCACTGTGTGTGCCCTCATATGGGTCCTCTCCTGTCTGCTCTCCATAGTCCTTTCTATTATCACAGAAACATCTCTGATTATACCAGATAACATCTATTTTTATTTCCTCACGATATATTTTCAATTTATCTTGACTGGACTGCTTTGCCTCCCACTTATGACAATTTCAACTGTGATCCTTTTCTTCAAAGTCTGTTTTAAATCACACCCACGAAAGCGGGGAAGGCTTTTAATGGTTATTTTACTTACACTCCTCTTCTTCCTCATCCTTGCTTTTCCAATCAATGCCATTCTTCTTGATATATTAATTGTACCCCTGAATATTCCCTTTCCATTCCATTATGCCATTTTGTGTGCCTCCCTCAACAGCTGTGTGAACCCCTTGCTTTATTTTCTGGTTGGGAGGAAGAAGGGAGGTCAATCTAGGGAGAGCCTACTGGTCATCCTCCAGCGGGTTTTGAATGAGGAGGTGAATGACAGACAGGAAATGGACCCTCCTTGTTCGATCCCACTTAGAAACCTTTCGTAAAAGTTCTTTGGCTGTATTATGTCCTTGGACTGCATTGATGACTCTTGCTCACCAGAAAAAGAGGATTGGGTTTTGTTGAAAATTTTGAGGTTTGTGTAGCTGAAATGTATCCTACTCTACAAAGACAGGAGTCATGTTTTTTCTTCTCCCAATTTTTCTTCTGTGTCCCCCCCCCCATGGTATATAGCCCCTGAAATGTTGGCCATGGAGATATAAAGCCCTACAGCTCAAAATGCTCCACACTGTGCACCTATATTGCACAAGCTGAAATAGACAAGACAAAGATCGGGTGGAATCATCTGTACAACTTGGACTGAGAATAGAAAAATTGTACATTCTTTTTTGGGACAAAACTGGTATCGCATTCCCCCCCCCCCCGCAAGCCCTTAGCACCTGCAATCCCAGAAGGCTGTTCTTGTCTTGTGATCAAGAAATCTGAAAACTGCTTATCCACCCTTAGTCTCAAGGTAGTAAAACAAATACCCTTGAATGAGAGCGTTATTGGGATGCTCCCTTGTTATTTTTTATGTTGGAGACTACATGCTGTTTAGGTGACCTTGTTATAGTATTTTATTTTTTTTTATAAAATTTTTATTGGTTTTACAAAATTTTTAAAGACAAACAAACACCTAAAAAGACATACAAACATGTATAGTTTCATAACATTTTTTCATAAACCTCTTTTCCGGGACTCCCCCATACCCCCCCTTTCTGCATCCCAATGTCCATACTTTTTTAGCAACTTCTAAATATTCCTTTCCAACCTCTGTCGTCTTAATCTTTTCTTTGATCTAATCTTATATCACTGTAACCCTTTTTTCCTGAAAACCTCGACATTCTAGCATTCATCAAGTTTATAGTAGTCCTTAAGATAAATTTTAAATTTTCTCCATTCTTCTTCCGCCGTCTCTTTTCCCTGATCACGGATTCTGCCAGTCATCTCGGCCAGTGTCATATAGTCCATCACTTTCATCTGCCATTCTTCCAGAGTGGGTAGATCTTGTGTCTTCCAATACTTTGCGATGAGTATTCTTGCTGCTGTTGTAGCATACATAAAAAAAGTTCTATCCCTCTTTGACACCAATTGGCCAACAATGCCCAAGAGGAAGGCCTCTGGTTTTTTAAGGAAAGTACATTTAAGTACCTTTTTCATTTCATTATATATCATTTCCCAGAAAGCCTTAATCTTCGGGCATGTCCACCAGAGGTGATAGAAAGTACCTTCAGTCTCTTTACATTTCCAACACTTGTTATCAGGCAAATGGTAGATCTTTGCTAGCTTGACTGGGGTCATGTACCACCTGTAAGTCATTTTCATAATGTTTTCCTTTAAGGCATTACATGCCGTGAATTTAATACCGGTGTTCCACAACCACTCCCAGTCAGCAGACATAATGTTATGACCAATGTCCTGTGCCCACTTAATCATAGCCGATTTAACTGTTTCATCTTGTGTATTCCATTTCAGCAGCAAGTTATACATTCTTGATAAATTCTTAGCATTGGGTTCTAACAATTCAGTCTCTAATTTTGATTTTTCCACCTGAAAGCCAATTTTCCTATCCTGTTTGAAAAACTCCATTATTTGATGATATTGAAACCAATTTTGTACTTTGTGTTTCATTTTCTCATGACTTTGTAATTTCAGTTTATCTCCCTCCTGTTCCAAGATTTCCCAATACTTCGGCCATCCGACCTCCATATTGAGTTTCTTCACTACCTTAGCATCCACGGGAGACACCCATCTAGGGGTTTTGTTTTCCAACAGATCTTTATATCTTATCCAAACATTAAACAGTGCTTTTCTAACAATATGGTTTTTAAAGGCCCTATGCAGCTTAATTTTATCATACCATAAATATGCGTGCCAACAAAATGCATTATTAAAACCTTCCAAATCCAAAATGTCTGTGTTCTCGAGGAGCATCCACTCTTTCAGCCAGCAAAACGCTGCTGCTTCATAGTACAATTTTAAGTCCGGCAGGGCAAATCCCCCTCTTTCTTTAGCATCTGTCAATATTTTAAATTTAATTCTGGGCTTTTTGCCCTGCCAGACAAATTTCGAGATATCTTTCTGCCACCTCTTAAAACATTCCATCTTGTCAAGAATCTGCAAGGTTTGAAACAAAAATAACATTCTAGGCAATACATTCATCTTAATCACTGCAATTCGGCCTAACATTGACAATTTCAAATTTGACCATATTTCTAGATCTTTTTTAATTTCTGACCAACATTTTTCATAGTTATCCTTATACAAATTCAGATTTTTAGATGTCAGATAGACCCCTAGGTATTTCACCTTCTTAACCACCGTCAACCCTGTCTCCTCTTGGAATTTCTCCTTCTCCATATCTGTTAAATTTTTTCCTAAAACTTTAGTTTTTTGTTTATTCAACTTAAATCCAGCTACCTGGCCAAATTGTTGGATTATTTCTAACACCTTTTTCGTACTAGTGTTTGGCTCTTGCAGGGTCAATACTAAATCATCTGCGAATGCCCTTAACTTGTAATGTTTAGCTCCGACCTGTACACCTTTAACCTGCTGGTCATTTCTGATCATATTCAGCAACACCTCCAGAACCGAGATAAAAAGCAATGGGGAAATTGGGCACCCCTGTCATGTTCCTTTTTCTATCTTAAGTTCCTCAGTTATTACATTATTTACAATCAACTTGGCTTTCTGTTCAGAATATATTGCATCCATACCATTCTCAAATCCTTGCCCTACCCCCATCCCATGGAGATTCTTTTTCATAAAGCTCCAAGAAATATTGTCAAAGGCTTTCTCCGCATCCACAAAAATCAACACTGCTTTAGAGTTTATATCCACCTCTAACTTTTCCAAAATATCTATTATGTTCCTTACATTGTCTGCTAGGTGCCTTTTTGGAGAAAGCCTGCTTGGTTCTTATGAATCTTTTCCATCAACACTTTTTTAAATCTTTTTGCCAAAATGTCTGCAAAAATTTTGTAATCCACATGAAGTAATGATATTGGGCGGTAGTTCTTCAATTGAGTCTTTTCAGTCTCTGTCTTTGGTATGAGTGAAATGTACGCTTCTTTCCACGATTCAGGTGCCTTCTTTCCCTCTAAAATCTCGTTGCAGACTTCCTTTAATGGTTGAATCAACCACTCCTTCAGAGATTTGTAGTATCTGGAAGTCAGCCCATCTGGCCCTGGAGATTTGCCCAATTGCATATTCTGAATGGCACCCTCTATCTCTTGTTCTGTTATTCTCTGGTTCAGATCCATCTTACTTTGATGAGAGATTTTTTGTAATTCATATTTATCAAGGAATTTATCTATATCTTCTTCATTTTGTAGTCCTTGAGCATAAAGTTTTTTGAAATAACTCAAAAAGCAATTTCTAATCTCATTAGGTTTAGATATGTTCTTTCCATCCACTTCTAGGCTTGTAACTGTATTTAACTTCTGTCTTTTCTTCAATTGCCATGCCAGAAGTTTACCGCATTTGTCTGCCGATTCAAATGACTTTTGTTTCATTTGCTTTATCTTCCATTCAATCTCTTGGTTCATCAATTCCATATATTGTGTTTGGTATAACTTAATCTCTCTCAAAATCTCCTGGGACTTTGGCTTCACTCTTAATTTTTTCTCTCCTTCCTTTATCTTTTCCAAAATCTTTTCCTTTTTCTCATTCTGTTTCCTCTTCTTTATTGAATTTTGTTGAATCAAAAAACCTCGCATCACAGCTTTACTTGCGTCCCAGATCACTCTTTTTTCCACATCGGCCTTTAGATTTATTTCAAAATAGTCCTTTAGAGCTTTTTGGGCCTTCATGTGGATCTCCTTATCTCGAAAGAGGGTGTCATTCATCCTCCATCTGAATTGACCAGTTGTTGTAAGTTTCATTTCCATCTTCACGGCGTTATGGTCGGAGCAAGTTTTTGGGCAGATTTCTACCTTCTTGATCTTTGGAGCCATCCCACTAGTAATCCAAATTTGGTCAATTCTGGTCCAGGTCATCGTTGCTTGGGAGAAAAAGGTTCCCTCTCTCTCAAGAGGGTTCCTTGTTCTCCATATGTCTATTAAGTCCATATTTTCCGTCATTTCAAAGAAGGTCTTCGGAAGTCTCCCTTCCTTGGTAACTGTCAATCTTTGTGTCTTGTCCATGTTTGTGGAGACCACACCATTCATGTCTCCCATAATTATCATATTGTAATCCAGATAGTCCATCAGAATTTCATGAAGTTTCTTAAAAAAATTCTGCCTTGCCTTCGTTTGGTGCGTAAATTCCAACTATCAGAAGTTTTTCTCCTTGTACTTGTATCTCAACTGCCAAATATCTTCCTTGTTCATCTTTGAACATCATTTTTGGAACCCACTTCTCTTTTACATAGATTACAACTCCCCTTTTTTTGACTTTATCCGATGAGATAAATTCTTGTCCTAGTCTTCTGTTTATAAGTAGTCTCCTGTGAGCTCTGGTTATGTGAGTTTCTTGTAAACATATCAAATCCAGTTGTTCTCTATTCAAAATATGAAAAACTTGTCGTCTCTTCAAAGGCATATTGAGCCCATTACAATTCCAACTAAGGAATTGCAGGGCCATCTTGTTATTTTCCTAATACTCCTCCAACAGCTCCAAGAATTCCTCATAAGGCATCGTTTCCAGGCCTTTGACCATTTTGGTTGCCCTCCTCTGGACACGTTCCAGTTTGTCAGTGTCCTTCTTGAACTGTGGTGCCCAGAACTGGACACAGTACTCCAGGTGAGGTCTGACCAGAGCAGAATACAGTGGCACTATTACTTCCCTTGATCTAGATGCTATACTCCTATTGATGCAGCCCAGAATTGCATTGGCTTTTTTTAGCTGCCGCGTCACACTGTTGGCTCATGTCAAGTTTGACCACAAACTTGACATGAGCCAACAGTGTGACGCGGCAGCTAAAAAAGCCAATGCAATTCTGGGCTGCATCAATAGGAGTATAGCATCTAGATCAAGGGAAGTAATAGTGCCACTGTATTCTGCTCTG